AAAAGAAAAACAATTAAAAAAGATTTTGATGCATAAATGTTTGTGACGAATTAAAAAAATAAATGTAAAACCTTACTTAATTAGGCGCCGGCAAGCTAGTTTTAGGCACAAAAACGATATCCTTTATCTAATCTTCTGTTGAAGTCGCATTGATCATTGTTAATCTTCCTAGCATGTTGAACAGCTATCGTAATCTATGGTTTCTCGAGTCTCTTGTGTTAAAAGCCAAAGCTACATCATTCGCTGAAAACTGGATTTTCGAAACCTCCAATTATCCGATTTGGATTATCTGATACGGTATTCAAAACATGGAAAACGTTTCAGAGAATTTCTTTATCTCATTAATGTACGAAAAGCATTTCAAGTTGAATGTTCTTGGATTTCTCTAAATGGCACTTGAGAAACTTCCTCGTAGGGTTTGTGTCGAAAATAACTTTATTAAGAAACTTCCTTGTAATGTTTGATCGAAAAGAGAAGAACAACTTTGCACTCAAACTATTAAGGAATAATTTTCTTTTGATGGAAGATATATACCACGAAAAAATTATAATTAAACGCTGGCCTTTCTTGGAAGCAAGCACAGAAACTCATCTAGTTTTTGGACAATGGTAGGTGCAAATTAAATAAATGTTTGGAAATGGTAAATCAAAGAGACAGTTGCCAACACCATATTGGAATCTCTCGTTTTGAACAAGTCAAAAAAACAGAAAGGAAATCAGACAACATGTTAAATAATCTAGCTTTGCTTCGCGTGAATAATTCAAAAAGACTTGTGAGGCGCAATTGATTTAGCAACCATGTATATATTCTGAGGCTTCATTCCCAGAATAGATCCTTTCTTTGCTATATCCCGCAATTAAGCGTAGTTCATTGGCTGGAACATGCTGAAATTTTCTACATCATTAGATAGAATTTGACCGTACGACGTCTGTGAAGGGAAGACAGGGCCCTATATATTAAATGAAATGAAGGTCAAAACAAATTTCCATTATAAACAAATCCAGTTTGAGACGATTTCAAGGTCTATAGTAATGGCCAATTAATTGATAGGGATGAAAATCTTGTAATCCAAATGGCTGCGCGATCTCTCCTCCCACCGATTCTTTGACAAGAAATAGTAAGTCAAGCCCTTGATTGTTTCCATCAAAGAGCATAAATTAATAAGTATTTTACGTTCTTCCAAATTTCATAGAAGAGATCAAATTAAATAACCTAATTTGTAATTCGGTAACCATACAATGTGTAAATATTTCGCACTTAAATGCTAGAGAAATGTATAGTAACAATAATGCTAGATAACGGGGTTTAAAGTAGATAAGATAACTTTCTCTCTTATTGGGTGAATTAATTTGTGTGTTAATTGAGATTAAATTTTTATTTAAATTATTAATTAAAGATATACCCGCTATATACATTTTTGAAAAGAAAAAAACTCAACAAAGCAAACGTACTTGATCCCCATGATTATTATATCTTAGAATTATACTAAACAAGAGGGTAGGTACCACGTCTTGAATGGAATTTTGAATTTGAGGATTTTTAAATGAATTTTAAGGTAATGTTTTTTAGTCGATAATTTAGTTAGTTTATATATAATTGAGATTAAATTATTTTCTCATATGATTTTAGAATATACATTTAAATGAATAGTTTTTTAGAAAATATAATTTTTTTATTAACTTGGATGTTTATACTAGTTTGTATACATCTTGACTAATTTTATAGGTTTTAAAGTTAATAATTATATAAATTTTTAGTAATTTTTAAATTTATAAAATTTAAACAACTGGTATCTAAAAAATAAATTCAAAACTTAACAAATTAAATTATATTTTTTAGGATTTACCAACTTGGATATTTATATAATAACTTTAAGCAGTCACCTGAAAACTTTACAAGAAATTTGCAAGGGCTTTTCCCATTTTTCTCTGTATGGTCGACAGATTGTTTCCGACCGACCCGTTTCGGTCATGACCCGTTTAAGAATTGGGATGTGCTGACTTTGGACTTGCATTTCCACATCTAATGTTAGTAATTATTCTGGTTATTGGCCTCATGAATCGAACACATGTTACTTAAAACTCTAGTGTTATGTAATTAGACCGAAGTACCTATGCACTAAAACAGAAATTGTCAAGGCAGATGTTGACCATTACCCATTATTCTTCTACACAGTGAATTCTCCGTGTGCAGTCAGGTTCCTCCTCCTTGCCAAAATACTAAATTATTGCAGCCACGGCATTCTTATTCTCTTCTCACCACCTTCTCTAGTTTGAACTTTCTCTTGTTGTATTTAAAAATTCGTTAATGCAACTTCTTCCTCGGGTGATGGAGATGGTCGCTCCAAAGACCTTGTAAGCGGAACACGGCCTTCAAATTTATAAATAGGATGTTTAATCCTCCATTTTGTATCATAATTCAAGAAGTGAGATATCTGTCATTTGCTTGCAAAACAAGTTAATCTCTTCTTCGTCATCTTAGGTCGATATTCTAACATGGTTAACGCTGAAGAATTTGAAGTTGTTTTTCGCCGCCTTGATGAAGATGGTGATGGGAAGGTCTCGCCATCTGAGTTAAGTCATCGTCTAAGTTTGATTGGAGGAGATTTGCTCATGAAGGAGGCAGAACTTGCTGTGGAGTCGTTGGACTCAGACGGAGATGGCTTGTTGGGATTGGAAGATCTTGTTAGACTAATGGAAGCTGGAGGTGAAGAAGAGAAGTTGCACGATTTGAGAGAGGCTTTTCGCTTGTATGATATGGATAATTGTGGGTTTATCAGAGCCAAGGACTTGAAAACAATGCTTGGTAGACTTGGAGAGTCAAGATCAATTGATGAATGCGAAGTGATGATAAACAAGTTTGACCTTAACGGGGATGGTGTTCTTAGCTTTGAAGAATTTATGGTTATGATGAAGTGATGTTCTTATGTATTGTACCATTGCATAACATGTAAACCAATTGTTTCTTTCATGGGATTCTTCAAGTCTTGTACGTTGTAAGAATAAAGACGAGATTCTTTTATTGTTTAACTCTTGGAGTTCACATTTTTCATGAATTTTCTTTTCATAATTCATTTGTTATAACGACTACAGATGAAGAAAATCTGTCAAAGAAACGTACATATAAACTTATCCAGAGTTTTGATGTATTTTTGATATGTCACATCTGCTTATTGGTCCAGTGAAAGTTGATGAATACGCAGCCTGGTCTTTTTCTTGATCGAGGACACCACAGTCCAGAAATGCCAGCCAAAACGCCAACTGCTGTTCGGCAATCGGCATTATCAATGCACTTGTTCCGGCATGTATTGCATTAACTTTGCTGTCTACGATCTCTCATTCTGTTCTTTAACTTCTTGTTCTTGTTTTTTTGAGGTATATTCTTTTTTCCTGCTTAAACTAAAAGGAACCTTTCATTTCCTCTTCTTCCTTTTCTCCTCTTGTGGAATTTTAAAATTAAAGAGGAAAAAAACTGAAGCTTCGCGAAGAAAGGGCCTTGTCAATGAAAATGGATAGCGGTGTTTCAGCCAATGAAGCACCAAATTCGTCGATGAAAATGGAAGCAGAGAAGGTTTCCATGCCATCTTCCTCCAAGGAAAGTCATGTCAACGCTGATAATCCTGCTGATAGCAGGTTTGCTTCCATTTAGTCTTCCAAAAGCAGTTTGGATTCTGATCGGTCTCCCATGGTGCTCCCTGTACGTAACAAATTCCAAAGACATCGGTGTTTCAGTCAATGAAATTGAGTTCAGCAATGAGTGGTGAAATAGATAAGGTCTTTGCTATCTTTTTCTCAGTAAAGTCCTTCCAATGCAGATAAGCCTGCCAAAAACAGTTTGGATTCTGATCTATCCACCATGGAGCTTCTGGTGATGGATTCTCCAGACAATGGTGTTTCAATCAACGACATACTGAATTCAACTTCGAGAAATGAAATGGACAAGGTTTTTAAGCCATCTTCTTCTAATGGAAGTCCAGTCAATACAGATAATTCTATTGACGAAAACAGTCTAGAATCTGATCAGTCCACCATCTTTGTGTCGGTCACTAAAACACTGAAATCAGATACGAATAGTGGAAAAGTCGAACTATTCAAGCAATCTTCTTCTCGTAGCTCAAAGTTTATAAATATATTAGGTTAATGAGAAAAAATATTTAGTTTATTATAATAAAAAAATAAAAGTACATGAAACATAAGAAATTATTTAATAAAGGCCTAGAGTGCATATATATTTAAATCTATAAACATATAAAAATAAAACTCAAGTTAAAAATTAATTATTTAACTTATGTTTTATCATGAGCGGAATATTTTTGTCTTAAAAAAATTAAATATACAAGCTTTTATAATGTGTTTTTATACATTAAAAAACACATATGAAATTCAAAAAGTTCACACATACATTTAATTAAATAAATTAATAATTATTTAAATAAACAAATCCTAAAATTTAATCTTTGTGTAACTAAAGTTAGCTATTTAACCTTCTAATCTGGATTATAAATTTTATTTGATTTAATAATTTTTTAAAATTTAAAATAAATATTTATAAAATTGAAAACCAACGAGAAAAAATTAATACCTTAAATACAAGAGAGTATGCAAATCAAATATATGTAAAACCTTGCCAATATAACTTATAAGTAAGTATGAAATTAAAAAAAAAAGTTTAATAAATGAAAATATTAAAAAGAATGAAGGGATGGAAAAATTACTATACATAGTGGTTTGGATACAATGTATAATACATAATACAATATATAATGTATAATTTAGATGTTGTTGCTTATTTATAGGTATGTATTGTGTCATTTAGTCCGGTTTGGAACATGTTTGATTTTCACACAAACATCTTTAGTAGTTCTGGGAGTATTATAATGATTATTTTTAAAATAAAAATTTTAATATATAAAAATAATATTTTTAAAACGTATATATAAAAATTAATTTTAAACTTTTATTTTTTCAAAAAATCACGGTTTCTACAGGGGGGAAAAAAAAACAAACAGCCCCGAATATCCCGTCAATGGAATGGTTCTTACCTTTTTTAGTTATCCATGAAAGCTTTGTATTGGGTAGTCGTTAGGTTTTCCGCACCAAGAGCTCAGCACTCTTACTTGCATCTCTGTTCTCTCTGTTTCAGTTCTATTGAAATTGCTGCTGCTGCTCCTCCTCCTCCAGTTAAGTCTTCAAAATATTTCCATTCAATTTATTATTATGCAACATAAACCGTTTCCATTTTACACTCATAAAAAAAAAAAAAAATTCTGTTCTTTATCTCAATTTATCATTTATTTTGCCTCCAAGATTTTAAACCCTAAGGAAACCCATAATAGCTCTCATCCTTCTTTCGTTGGTGAATCACATTTTGTTGGGTTGAGCGTCGCCCTTGAGAAAATCTAGCTTAGCATGAGTAATGTTGTACGTTGCTTCTGTCCTTGTGATTGTATAATATTCTAGTTAACATTCGCCGTTTCTCGATGCCTGAGTTCTGAATTTGTTTTCTTTTTCAAATATATTAGATGCAAAGAGAACCACCCAAATTCCCATGTGAAATAGACACAGAGCTGGACAGAATCAGCAGCTTACCTGGGCATGTTTTACGCCAAATTCTATCACTTTTGCCGATTAGGGATGCAGTGAGAACTAGTGCGTTAAAAAGAAAGTGGAGGTACAAATGGTCTCAAATTCCTCATATTGTGTTTGATTCTCAAGGCATCTCAATCTCTTCCCAAGATCAAACTACAATTAAGAACAAGCTTGTCAATATTATCGATCATATACTTTTACTTCACAATGGTCCAATTTACAAGTTCAAACTATCTCACTGCGATCTTTTAGGTGTCAGTGATATTGATCGATGGATTCTTCATTTATCGAGAGGTTCTACCAAAGGATTTGTACTTGAGATATGGAAAGGCCAGCAGTATAAGTTGCCTTCTTGTTTGTTCTCGTTTAAGAACTTGGTTCATTTAGAATTATTTAATTGTTTGCTAAAACCTCCTTTGGCTTTCAAAGGATTCCAGAACTTGAAGAATCTTGACCTTCAGCATGTTACCCTGGCACAGGAGGTGTTTGAGAAGCTGATTTCTAGCTTTGCTATGCTTGAGAGGCTGACATTGATTAACTTTGATGGTTTTACTCATCTTAACATCAATGCACCTAATCTTCAATTTTTTGACGTCGGAGGTGTTTTTGATGATGTTAGTTTTGAGAATACTTTTGTATTGACTCTGGTCTCCATTGGATTGTATGTGAACGTCAAAAATGACCAGAATGTGTCTTATGGGAGTTCTGGTAAATTGCTCAGGTTTTTTGTTAATCTGCCCCATATTCAAAGACTTGAGATTCAGAGTTACTTTCTTAAGGTAATATCTCCACCAACATTATCTATAGTACATCAGTCTCCCTTGAAATTTTAACAAATTGATTGAATTATACAGATTATCTGAAGTAATTTCATTGTTTTTGAACTGCATCAATTTGTGTCCTTGTTTTCAATACTTGTAATGCTGAAGATTTGATAATTTTGGATTTCATTTAACAACTCATGTATTTCTTGGTGATCCTTTGTTTTCTAATTCCACTGTAGCTATTGGAAATTTGAAAGGGCTAGTGGAAATATGCTATGTGCTACCTTATTATCCTTATTATAAGATTTCTAGGTTATTTCATCATTTTGTCTCTTTTCTTTCCTCCAGTATTTGGCTGTCGGCAAAGTTCCAAGCAAGTTGCCAAAGCCATGCATTGATCTGAACTACCTTTCTATACGCTTAAATTTCAATGACTATGAAGAGAATTCAGCTGCCTTGTGTCTCTTGAGAAGCTGCCCCAATTTGCAAGAAGTAGAGATATTGGTAAATGACCTTCGATATGCTTATGTGAAACTTTATATTGATTGCATCACGATTTTTTTTTTCCTTAAAACAAAGAAGAAGGAAATAAAGAAAGAGAGGAAGGGGAGGAAAAAAAATTGCCTGATCAATTTATATCTTATACCACTACATGGAGATTTATTGGTTTCTTATATCCTGGATTCCATGTAGGCCCGCCCTGAGGAACAAGCTGTTGTGGGACCAGTAACTGATTTCTGGGACGATGACCACTGGAAGTGTTTATTTGGCCAATTGCGACTGGCGAAAATAGTTGGCATCTCTGGCATTAGATCTGAACTTGATTGCATTAAATTTCTGCTTTCAAACTCTCCTGTGCTTGAGAAGATGACCATTAAGCCTGTTTCCAAGGAGGGAGGATGGGAGTTGGTAAACCAATTGCTGCATTTTCAGCGAGCCTCAATCCAAGCAGAAGTCTTTCATCTGGAGCTATAACTATGGACTGCGTTTTGGGCAGGCACTGCTGCGCTGTAAAATGCTTCCCATGTAAATGTAAATAGAAACTAACCTTTTCTGTGTCTGCACTCTTCATTTTTGTGTGATTAAAAAAATGGCCAGTTACAATTAGAAACTTGTCACTATGTAGTTAATCTGAAATCATATGCTTGAATGCACGATTCAGCTTCTGGTCTTTGCAGCCATTTTATGATTAGCAGGTTGCGCGAGCTCTTTTATTGTTCTGCGGTGTTTTTATGTTCGGCAGTTGGGATGTGATTGTTTTGACAATGTGCTGTGCTGATATTGGCCTTTCAACTTAATGATTGTCTCTCTTTTGTGTTGATGGTCATCTCTGAAACCAGGATATCCATAGGAATATATCCTTTACTTTTCTAACTCTACCCTCCTAATCAAGGCCACCCGTCTCAAATCTAAACAGAATGCTCTCTTTCAACACTCTAAATAGAATTAAATCAAAGGAGTAGCCAGGCATGGGGCTAGTTGTCGTTCATAAATCTTGAGAGTATGGTATTTTATTATCTAAAACACGGAAAATAGAAATCTCATTTTATTGAACCAACACCTTAAAGTATCTTTCTTTCTACGTTTTGGACAGTACTGCATGCTGTACAAATCATGTGAGTTACAAATATGTTCCAAGCCAACGAAGGATCTTGGTGAGTAGCAAGTTATTCATGCTACCTTAACTTTAGGTCCTATTCTAATATTAACAGGACTCGGTTTGCTTTATGTATTTCCTCATTTAATTTCCTTCAATCAAGAATATGGAGTCACGGTCAAGTATGGTTCTTAGTTCATGGTCGCAGCTCCACCCAATCACCACCGAAATCCATTTAAGAGGGAAGCAGGACATCGTTAATCCCAAGAAAGGGCCAGTGTTACTTCGGTTTGTCGAAACTCTCTCACACAACCAACCTTGTAATCATAACACAGCCAGATAACCATAGCTAAAGTGTATTGGTAGCTAAAGAAGTTATGGCCACTGATATTACTCCACTTCTACCTAGCCAGAACAATATTGGGCATCATGAGCAAAAACTTTTTAGCATTGTTAATGAGTTCGGGCAAGAATCAAAGAGGTTATGGAAGCTTGCAGGGCCAGCAATTCTTAATGCCAGATGTCAAAACTCGCTTGGTGCACTCACTCAAACCTTTGCGGGTCTCCTCAATGAGCTTGATCTTGCTGCTTTTTCTGTTGAGAATTCTGTCATTGCTGGTCTAGCATTTAGGGTCATGGTACATTTTTTGCCTTACCCACCAATATTTTGCTTTATACTTTGAAAATGCACAGACATCTTCTTGATATATCGTTAATTTTTATGTTGAATGTAGTTGGGAATGGGTAGTGCATTGGAGACACGATGTGGGCAAGCATATGGTGCTGGAAAGCTGAGAATGTTGGGCATATACATGCAGAGATCATGGATCATTCTCTTGACAAGCTTGCTTATTGATACCACTTTATGTTTGGTCTCCCCCCATTATAGAGCTCTCTGGAGAGACTACGCAGATATCTGAAGCTGCTGGTTAGTACTAGATATTCCCCCCTAATTTTTTCACTCCATGGTCAATAATCTGTTCTGATACAAACAAGTTGGTAGGACAGAAACAAACGTTAACTAATGGATTCATCGGAATAAACAACCCAGCTGGAAAAAAAGAAGGAAAGACCAAAATGATCCGGTGCGGGTTTCAGAGTAAACTTGCCTCCTCCATTCACTTGTGGATGGAACAATATTGTCACGGTTGGTTGGGGATTTGGGTTACAGTGAAATTTGCTTGGTGTATGCTTCCACAATTGTTTGCTTATGCAATTAATTTTCCCATTCAAAAGTTCTTGCAAGCACAGGGGAAAGTCATGGCCATGGCCTGGGTATCAGCTGTGGTACTGGCGTTGCACGCATTATTTAGCTGGCTGCTAATACTGAAACATGGATGGGGCTTAACTGGAGCAGCAATCACACTGAATACTTCATGGTGGCTTATATTTATTGGACAATTGTTGTACATTTTCATTACGAAATCAGATGGTGCTTGGACTGGATTCTCGTGGCTAGCATTTCCAAATTTGTGGGGTTTTAATAAGCTTGCTTTGGCTTCTGCTGTTATGTTATGGTAATAATTCCTGTCTTTAATCCATCATAATTCAGTGTATTGTATAGCGCGTTATGCTGATGTTTTTGATCAGTTCAATTGCAGCTTGGAGTTTTGGTACGTGATGATACTGGGGGTGATAACAGGTCGTGTGCCTAAATAGCAGTTGATGACATCAGATAAAGAATAACATAAATTGGAATTTTATTTAAAAAAATTAAGTTTTTGTATTGAAATAATTTTTTAATATGATTTTTAATTTTTAATTATTAAATAATTATAAATTTAAATTTTACTGGTATTATTTATTTGATAAAAATTAAGTAAAAAATAATGTAAATTTTAAGCCTACAAAATTTTCAAATAAAAAAATTTATTGTTATTATTTATTTGATAAAAATATATAAATTTATATAAATTTTAAGCCTATAAAATTTTCATATAAAAAATATTAAAAAATAATATAAATAATATTTTGATATTTATTTAAAACCTTAAACTTTTAAATATTTCTGCCCCATTATTGTACGAAATTACCATTACAAAAGAAACTAAAACAACTCTTTCACTGTTTTTACTATATATCCCCTCGCATTTTCACATTTGCAATTCATGCTTTCACCTTATATATTTTTATTATTCAACCCCTCACATTTTCACATTGGAGCAATGACTCTTTTCTTTTGATATTTTTATCCTCAAACTTTTTTTTTTTATTGGATCCTTCTATGGCCAAATTGAAGATTTGTTATGCAAGGGAAAAATTAAAGGATGGGATCAAATTAAAAACCACGAAGAAACTCGATGATCGTTTGAAATTCACTCAAAACTTTAACTTTGGTCCTCTTACTTTGCAACTAATCCATTGTCATTTCATTTGATTTAAAAAAATAATAATTCAAAGCTTTATTTATTTATTTTTATTCTTGGTTTGAAGTGGAAAAAAAAAAAACTGAATTTAAATGATAAATAAAATATGTTGACTACTTCGTGTCTGTTTGGAGTGTTTTTTAAAAATATTTCTAAAAATATGTGAAATTTTTTTTATTTTTTTAAATTAATATATTTTTAATGTTTTTAAATTATTTTAATTTTTTATTTTTAAAAATAATTTTAAAAATATAAAAAAAATATTATTAATATATTTTTTTAAATAAAAAATATTTTAAAAAACAATTATAATTATAATCCCAACCACGCTAGGTATCATCGAAGTGGTCAATTTTAACGGCACGCCATCATCAGTCTTTTTTTATTACAAAAACCTTCATCGTAGAACTATGGGCATTATCGTCAATTGAGGAAACATTATCCCCTTCCTTCCCCAGCTCCACCCGCTCAACGTACGTTCCATCTTCCTTTCTTTCCCCTCCCAATCTCAAAGTCTACTAAAATAAAAGCACTAATCTTTTCCGTTTTCCTCGAAACCGAAAAAATGTCAATCTCAATCTCCTCTCTTGCATCATCCCTCTCTTCACTCTCATTTTCCTCTCAAATTTCCCAAAAACCAAACACCCTTTCATTTTCTCGGTCCAAATCTCATTCTCTCTCTCTCTCCCCCTACTCCAACTCCAACAAACTGCCCTTTACTCTCCGTGTCACCGCCACCATTGCCTCTCCCGAAACAACTACCACGGATCTCAAGAAATTAGTGAAATCGAGACTCCCTGGTGGTTTCGCAGCTCAACCTATTCATGGCACTGGTCGCCGAAAATGCGCTATTGCTCGTGTTGTTCTTCAAGAAGGCACTGGCAAAGTTATAATCAATTATCGCGACGCTAAGGTAAATGCCAATTCTCCATCTTTTCTTACATTTTCTTTCACCTTTATGGGAACTGTGGTTTTTTGGGTGGTTGATTGTTCTTGATATTCTCATTTTATTTTGTGCTTCCTGAGTGATTGCAGCAACACTGAAATGGGTTTTGCGGATTTTATCTTAAAATTTCCGTAGTTGTTATCTGAAAAGTACTTGTTGTGTGGAAAAATTACATGGCACAAGCTGTTTTATGAGCAATGACTGGATTTTATGCTTGCCTTCTTAATTATTTAATGGAAGAATGAGTGTTTCATGCTCATTGTTACTATACTGGGTGCTAATTTCTCAAAAGATCAACTCCTAGTGCTCTTCTTGGCTATGGGTTTTTGAATGGAAAAGGAAAGGCTATACCTTTCCGTGATTTAGTTTTCATTTTGCTTGAGAGTAGCCTTCGCCAATGATCTAGTTCTGGTCCCTTGAAGCGGGCTGACGGAAGTTGCAATGCTTTTTTTTTTTGGATATACAGTTGCTCTCAATAGTAAAAACATGCACCTTGGTGACTGCAAATCTAGGACTTGTGTGTTCAATCAAAGTAGTAGACCTTTCGAACAAATGTGCTTTTCAATGAGGGGCGGTTCAATTATCATGCTTTCTTCCCAATTCTAAGTGATACAGTAGATACCAAAGTTCCAAAGTCACAAATGAGGATGGCAGTTTACACACATTGCAGCCCTACCGCATGTACTTATAATGCAATAATCTGGCCTTTTGAGTTCTCTGAGTATTGAATGTGATTATGCCGCCACCCCCCCCCCTCGCTTGATACATTTTTTTTATGGGCTTTGTATTTCTCTGAAGGAATATCTCCAAGGTAATCCATTGTGGCTTCAGTATGTGAAAGTCCCACTGGTAACTCTGGGGTACGAGAGCAGCTACGATGTGTTTGTCAAGGCTCATGGAGGTGGCCTCTCTGGTCAGGCTCAGGCAATCTCCCTTGGCGTTGCTCGTGCATTGCTAAAGGTGAGCCAGAACCACAGAATTCCCTTGAAAAGGGAAGGGCTTCTAACCAGAGACTCGAGAATAGTTGAGAGGAAGAAGGTTGGTCTCAAGAAAGCTCGCAAGGCCCCACAATTTTCCAAACGTTGAGATTGGAAATGATTGCTTGCATCTCCTCAGATCTGCCTTTGTTTGTACATGTTCTTGTAGCTGGGTCATTTATGTAAAACGTATTTCAGCGTCAGATACTGTATTATTTTTGGGAGAAAGTACGAGGAATTTATTTTTGGTGATTTTTGTTTTTCATTTGTAGGTCTTTTGAACATGAATCATTCATCCTAGGTTAGAAATGCCTGTAGAATAGATAGTAGTGGATTTTGTCCACCAACCTGCCCGCGGGAGGGGGGAAGCAGATTTTTCTTCGTCATTGGCTAGAGGTGCTTGAGCATTTTCATTGAAGGGCGAGTTTGGTACAGGTGAAGAATTTGCCAGAGTAACCGTGAATTATACCACAGTTGCTTCTTAACTCAGTCAACTAGCATCACCATTAATTAGTACCAGGATGTCGTCACAGGAGAGGTTGGGAAATGAAAATAAACCCGATGTTTAAATCCATCAAAAGTTCATGTAGGAAAAGCACGCCTGAAAAAGACTGATCAACCTTGCCCGGAGAAGAGAGTGTACTATAAGCTATTGTGCGAAGGCAGATGCGAACACCTTTTTGTACTCTAATATCAGATTTTATTTAAAATCGTTTGAAATAGTATTTTTTAAAAAATTTATATTTTTAGATTATTTTAATCTACTATGTCTAAAATAATTTTTTAAAATTAAAAAATTATATTTGGATTAAAAAGCTAAATCTAAACTTGAGCGGCAGGTGTGGTTTTTCATAGGAGGATCCGCCGAAGAAACAATTGGAAAACAATGGTGCAGACAAGCGATGAATTGAGCCGTTCGGCCCTTTGTTCGTGGAGTTCATTTAATACCCCAAATTTTCTAGGCTGGACAGCCTGGACTTTTTCGACCCTCATTGTTCTAGACTTACCATTTTGTGCGCTGGGCCTTATAAACCTTTTAGGTGCAGGCAAT